TACTGATGGTTGGAGGTCCGCGTTTAGATCGCAGCACCGTAAAGCCCGTCTTTGACTAAGCCCTTCGAAGCCATCAGCCCCTAATAGCCGGAACGTGATTTGGGTACGACTAAATCCCGTGTGATGGATATAATTGCGACAAGGGGAACCATCAATCACTCCGGACCTGGTTCCAATATCTACAGCTGTCTTATGACAAGGAAAACGTATTCGTCATGTGCCGCAATGGCATCGTAGTCATAAAACATACAAGTAGGTAACTGCGAAAACAGGGGTATCAACGGCAAAAGAAAATTCTTCTCGCATTAAGATTCTCCAATCAAGCCTATTTTGAAAATGTAGGGAGGAAACGGTCCGAGAAAGGCGTTTCCGAAGCTTGGAAGAACAAATAGCCTTTCGAAGAACAAATAGCCTTTTTTTCCTGATAATGATTTGCTCCTGTGGTACTCCAACCTTACACGATATTTATTCAAGATTGGTTGATCGAGTAAGACAGTAACTTAGGGTTAAGCAACGCAGCTAGCACTACAGGGTTAAGAATAACGCCGTGAAAAGTGCCCTCTCGGTACGAGCGCTACCTTACAAGTGAGGAGCACCCTCCATCCCCCTCCCCCCCCCAATCATGAAGCGAGTGGGTGTTCGAAGGGAACAACGAGACGATGTGCTTGCAGGAGCTGCATTACATCTTAACCTTGAAGCGCTCTGTGTCCAATGATTCGCAGTTTTACCATGCGTGCGCAACGGAGTTCAGTTTCTAGGCCGGCTCACACCCAGGCCAACCAAGCATTCTCCTCCTCTCCCCCCCCCCGGGACGGTAAGTCGGTAACAGATACATTGGGGAGGATCAGCTGCTCCCCCCTCCCCCCTCCCGCGCAGGTCACTATATTCAGGCCAGATCGCATCCAGTAATCAACTTCGATACTGAATGGTAGTAGAATGCGTGCCAAATCCTAGAAAAAAGGGTTGATCAACGCGAAAGCTTTATTTTTGCCCTCATTATCTTAGCAGCATCGTCACCCCTGCTGCCTTAAGGCAGGGTCCGCGATCGTTTAGAAGTTGAAAATATGGCATCGGGAGGAGTAGTGTGGTCCGCGACGAACAACCTTGTACCGGTTTTGCGGCAAAAATTGTAAGGGAGGGGCGCTGTAGCGCAATATAGGTTCAGTGACGCCTCCTTTTCTACAGTGACTCCGCCTCCGAACTCCACCTTCAAGGCCCACCTTTCAGTGAAAAAACGAAGCTGCGGACGAAAAAGCATGAAATTCGTCACTTGTATGGTCGCAAAAATCTTATCGGGGATCAGCTGTGCATATCCTCACTTCAATCATCCACTAATTATCCAATACCGACAGATCGGGCGTATTGCTGGAGATGGAGTTAATTGATCAGATCTGAGTTCTTTCTAGGACAGCTGGCACGTTTTTTCTGCTTTTTTCTTCCTTCTGTACTGCGTTACTCAGGAACCTTGCCGTCTAGATGTGAACCCCTAATCCCTTATTTGTGATCGTGATCGATCGCGGGCTTTGCCATTAAGTAAGCGAGTCAAACCCTGATCCAGGCTGGACCAACTAAGTCTGACATCCCGAGTTGAGCTACCGCTGCTCCCCACTATACAAAAACACTCATTCTTATATATTACAGATCCTCCAAGTCATGCAGGTCAATTCGAGTTCTGACGCGACGACGGTTCCGAGAGGGAGAGAAATGCATCAGTATCCTCAAGAGATTTGGTTGATTCTCAATGCTTTTTTTTACCTTCTTGCTGTTAATGATCCGACCGTGTAGCAAAAGAGAATTGGCTAGACCGCTGTAAGGTCACAAATTGTTGATTTATGGGCAGAAGTCTGACCCCAGGCGGAACCCGAACCCGCACATCACGCTTCCCCGGACGAGGGCACTACCTGTTTCGTCACCAGGCCTGCTCACACTATCTCATTATCAGGTTGATTTACTTGCTTTACGCATTTTGTCATAGCACCAGTGGGATCGCCCAGCTTCGCCGGCGATCCTCCTTCCGCGTGTGAAGTGGGTAGTGCCCCGCAGTTTTCACATAAGGGCCAGTCGGATCTTCTTGTTTATCCCCCTAGAAGGCAGTCGTCGAAATTTCCTATATGACACTCCCATTAGTGATGAGGAATCACAGCATAAACTGTAGACTATAGACAGACGATGGTTTACATATAAGTAGAAAGATGATCGAAGTACCCTCCGATGGTAAAGCAATTTGAAATTTCTGGTATGTAAATGTGTGCTGTCCTACTGGATAATAGGGAATGACTGAAGTGGGGATAGCATCTGCCTAAATTGTGGTGCCTTAATATATAAGGTAAATAAACAAATAAATAAGCATACTGATTTAGAAACCCTTGATCTCTTGATTTTGAATCCCATTCACTGAGGCAAATACCCCGTTCACTGATGATTATGCCATTTTTTGCGTTTAGAAACCGAATTATGAATTATTATCGACGGCCATCAACCATTTAGTGTCCACAAAGTTACGTTGCCATTCGTTTTCCAGTAGCTGGTAAAAGATAAATCTCACCAAGTTTAACTTACCGGTCCATGATATAATCTCCATGCCCACTACCTTTCGCCAACGATCGGGTAGAGAGGCAACTCCATCCTCCCAAAAGCTGGCCGGCCGCAGGCCGAGCCCAATCCTTCGATCCTCGAGGTCGCGCTCGTTCTTCAGCTGTTTTCCGTCCAAGAAATTTTGCATGGACCGGAAGATGTGGTAATCGCATGGACTAATGTCCGGGCTATACGGGATGCGTGATCGTCTCGTGCCCACCTGTCCAGGACGGCCTGAGTATCTCTCGCTTTGGGGCGCGCGTTGTCTCAGAGCAACCACGGATTTGCAAGTTTCTGGGACAAGGCGGCAGCTTTCACCTTGACCTCCTGCAATTCTTTAGAGAGGGTCTCTGCCGTCACTGTGGCATTGTTGGGTAGGATGCTGTAGTGGACGACGCCGTGGCGAGAGAACCAGAAACCTCGGCATATCTTCGATGCCATAGTTTCCATTGGTGAAGCGAGTCCACCATTTTGACATCCAGTTCTTAGAAGGGGTGTTATCACCAAACTGCTGACGCATCCTGCCGTGGCTGCCTACGTTCTGGAGTCCAGGTTGTAGTAAGTCCAGCACGAACATCGGCGGTGGTGGTGACTATCACTCATCTTCACTGCTTTATTGTGGGAAGAGCAGGAAAGGAAATTTAGAGCTAGCTAGCTCAGAAGATAGCCCATCGCGAGTACTTTCAGTATTGCGAAATCTTTATGCAAAATCACAACGCGTTGCGTAACGCGACGCTGCTTACAACAGAGATGGCCAACAACTTGTGGACACACCTATATAGTATACTCAACGCTATTATCTCTCCCAACTTCATCTGGGCAGGGAATCTTGCTCTGTCTGCAACTCGTACTGCCCAAGTTCCCTGCGGGTGTATTCCGGGGATGCTCATTGTGAAATCGTCTGTCCTCAAATCACTGTTCACTAGCGCAACGCCCCCACCCTTCATGGGTATGGCCTCGCTGTCATTTCGTTCCGCAAGGAAGCTGATTCCTAACATTTCCCCACATTTTCCGCTCGTCCGCCGGGCTGCTTCTGGAACCAATTAGGTGGAATTTTACCAAAATAAGTTGAGCCTCACGAACCGTGTGCGCGCGCGCGCCCCGCCCACGGTGGGCGGGACTTAGCCAAGTTCATGTGTGATCCGTACATCCTGACCCATACCCTACCCATCTCACCTTTGACCATGCCCCTCAAACTAGCTCTTCCGGTAATGCCGAATTTCCGTACAGACACACGGACAGACAGAAAACTTCTGGTTTATATATATAGGGGAGGATAACTTCTATGAAAGGTTTACGATTTTGGGTCAAACTACGCTGTTCATGTCGAAAGAGTGGGCGTCGCCTATTACTTCAATTCACAGTGGAGGAAACGCTAATCGCGAGATATTCCCGTTTAGACAGCTAACTTTCTATTTTGCGGTGTGCGAAAAAGTTAACATTCTCCTGAATAGGCAACGGCCAACTGAGAGCGCATCTGCCGCTACATTCACTCAGCCACATACTTCCTAACTCCGGGAATTGGGTGATAGGTACATCCATAGAGTGCCACAAATGTGATGAGTTGAGCTGATGAAATGTATATCTTCAGAAACGTACTGTTCACTGATGAAAGAGTATGCAGGAACCACCAAAAGTGCAGATAGAGCTAAGTCGATA